GGTTCACTCTGGAGCCTAGAGGCCTGGACATTGGGTAATAGAAAACACATTGCATTTAGGGGCAGAAAACCTGGATTCCCATCCCAACCTGCACTTAGATACATGACCTTAAATTTTCCAATAGCCTTTCTGACACTCAGTTTCTTCAACTGTAAAATGAAGAAAAACAACAAAAAAAGTTCTTGCTTTGCCGCATCCATGGGTAGCCATGAAAGCATATGAAAGCACTTTGGAAACCATAAAGAAAGTGCTTTTTTCCCCTTCTCAAATGTTTATTTCTAACCACAAATCTCTCTCCCAAGTTCCAACCTCACATTTCCAACTGTCCCGCAGTTCTTTCCACACAGCTCCCAGGTATGCCGAAATATCTACCCAGCTCTGTGAGTGGTCAGGTGAGAATGCAGGAAGCCGGCCCCAGCTTCAGGGGCCTCCTTCAGATGTGAGCACTGCGTTCTATGGCATTTCCAACTAACTGTGTATCTGGTTCTCAGAGTAAGCTTACTAAAAAAGCAAAAATACAAGGAGGGGGACCCCAAAATACCTAGAATTACCTTTGGAGGACAGGACACTTGAAATACACTTGGAATTTGTTACTCCAGATCAAACACCAGTTTTTATCTGGAAGTTTGGAGAAGGTTGCATTATGATCTGCAGAAGAAATGTCCCAAGTTGTGGCATATATGTGACTGAGTCCTCCACCATGACAACACACTTGCCCACACACGCTGAACACTCAGTTTTTGACCAAAAACAGTATGCCCCCCAGACCCTATCCTATTCACCTGTCTCGCCCCAAGCAATGTTTTTTTCCCCTGAATGAAAAAAGTTCTCAAAGGGAAATGTTTTGCTGATGTGAATAACATGAAACAAAAAAATGTCAGAAGCACTAAAAAGTATCAAAACTGATGAGTTCAAAAACTGTTTTGAGCAGTGGAAAAAGTATCTCTATAGGTGTATTACATAAATCAGTGGCTACTTTGTGTGACTGAATTTTAAACATGTAAGAATAAATGCACAATTTTTTATAAATAAATACTAGGTTTTTTGGGTACCTCCATCCCCTGCTCCATATACTCTTACTTTAATAGGCTGATCCTCCTATCCAAGTACTAACCAGACCCAACACTGCTTAATTTCCAAGATCAGATGCAATCGGGCATGTTCAGCATAGTATGGTGTGGAGAGATGAAAAGAATTACCCATGGGTTACAATGTACACAGGTGGGAGTGGTGAGTACACTTAAATCTCAGATTTCTTCACCACTATACAATGCAATAATGTAACCAAAAACTATTTGTATCCCCTAAAACTATTGAAATAAAGATAAATAAATAATAAAAGAATGTGGCAAAATAATGATAAATAAATAATATTGAGAACAATTTTTAAATGCCTGCTCCTGTCAGCTTCCCTTTTCTGTTAAGATAAACTTGACTGGTTATGTAGGCTTAATGTAGAGGTATCATCATGGATGTTTTTCTCCATCTCTCCCCATCCTATTCATCACCATTTTCCTTTTCCTTCTCACATCTTGGTGTCCCACAGAAGCAGGCTTTCAACCTAACTCTCTTCATGTGACCTGGAGGAACTATCTTTACCAAACTGGGGCTTGGTGTCATCATTTGAGATGTGAGAATACGATTTTTGCAGATCTGTTGAAGGAATTGAATAAGATAGTGTTTACCAAATGTGTGGTATGCTTTAGCTTAGTTTCACCTCCCAGCTAAGCTGGTTGCTGCACTGATGTTCAATAACACGCAGCCTTTCCCATTCTGACCTCTGTATCTTCAACCCTACTCTTCACCTTTCCTGGTATCTCCTCTCCCTCCTTCTGTATTTCTGCATATCAGAGCATGTATAACCTTCCCAGACCACCCTTCCAATGCCACCTACCTTTGGCAACCAGCAGTGATGCCTACTTCCTCCAAACTGTAAGTAATTCTTGCACTTTACTTCACAACTCATGAAGCATTTAACAATCCTACTGCACATTCTACTTGTGTATGTATCACTTCTTCCCATAAACTTCCATGTTGATCTTCCTTACACATCCTATTTACTCAATAAATAGTTTTTAGATGATCACAAGGAATGATCAATCAATCCACTAAATAATGACTAATGCCTGGCCCTGGCATGAGCCAGTGGAAAGTGACTCAGAAATGAATGATTTAAACAAAGAATGAGACACCAAAGAAGACACTTCACGTTTTGTGTGCTGATTTTTTAATGAACATCTTATAATCTTACAAAATAACTGACTGTAGCTGTTTTACGTTACAATACAGTAGATCAGCTCCTTTCATTAAGTTCCCAATCAAGCCATCCTCTTGGGTACTAACTCATATACTCTCTAGTGATCACACAGAATAGAGGAAGTGCCAAGGCCAATGCCTCATCATAGAGAAAAGGGAAGAAGAGAATCAGGAAGATCTCTTTACTCTCATAGATACTTTACTCCCATTTTGGCCAGGATTTGCCCATGTTCCTCACTCTGTCCTCTCAGCTGTCTCTCTGACGGGAGGCTGTCATGCTGGTCATTAGAGTCAGCCAGCCCTGTTCAACCTGGGCGCCAGAGCTCCTGGGTACCAGGAAAAAGAGGAAACAGAGAAGTGATTTTGGAACAATGAAACAGATGGAAGAGCTTCTAGGAGAGGCCCTCAATGACAGCCGAATGTGGACCACCACATGGAGTCTGTGTGAGTTGGTCTTAGCCCTTTCGCTATATCAGTGACCTGAGTTGCTCAAAACACTAGGCCCTACTGCCAAAGACTGCAAGAGCCTGCTGTCTCTGGCTACAGCCGGCTGTCACTCGGAAGCCTTCAGCCTGAGGGATGCTGCACACACTGTAGCAACTGTCCTTCTGCCTTCCCAGGGCAGTGATGAATTGCAGATGTTACGAACACAAAATGAAGTTTGAAACAGAAATGTTCTTACTGTTACTCTCATGGAGAGACAGCACAGGCAGACACTGACTTGAACCACAGGTGCCATGCTCTTGCTGGGGACCGCAGCCTTCCTGAGTTGGGAAAGGCCCAGGGTAATCACTCCTCTGCTTCAATCTCAGACCGGGTAGGATTCCTCAGGGCAGAACTTGACATGCTACCATGGATTTGGATATTTTCCCAAGAAAACAATTTTACGACATCTTAAAAAGTAGAAAATCTAAACTTTTCCACTGTCCTTCGCATATTGAAGCCTATCAGAAACCCAGAAATGAATATATATCATCTTCCTGGGGGCATTAAGTGTGACCCAAGACAATGAATGGTATCTTGAGTATTGTTTCCCTTATGCTGAAATGTAGGGAACAAGAGATTTTTTTAGATCAGAAAACTCTGCTCTTTCCCTGGTGACTTTACCACTCTCATTCCACAAACCCACAGGCTAATTTGTATATATAGCCTTATCTTGTTTTTTTCCATTTCAGAATATTGTTCTTTCCTACATGATAGTGTGGATAACATTTCTATAGTCCTGGGTCTTATTTCCTTCTCCTATTTACAATGTCATTGCTTCGGTGTTGATGGGATGAGTAGAGAAACTGTGACAAGAACAGAAGACTTTAGCTTGGGTGTGGTGGCATGCAACTGTAGTCCCAGCTACTCATGAGGCTAAGGAGGGAGGATCACCTGGACCTAAGAGGTGGAGTCTGTGAGTGAGCTGTGATCACGCAACTGTACTCCAACCTGGGTGACAGAGTGACATCGACTCAAAAAAAACCAAAAAATACAAGAGCAGAAAGAAGAAGAAGAGACCATGGTTGAGTGCTAAATTTTGTCTCTTCTTAGTTTCCTCTGGAGGAGACTTTGAGGGGGACAAGGCGCACAGATGATGAGACTGGGGTATTAAACAGAAATTGACTTTTGATTCTCTTTCCCCAAGGTCTAATCTAGAAACTGGTACCAAAAAAAAATCTGCAATAGACTACATCCTAGTAAGCCTGGGATGTCCACAGAGGCAGGTCATGTGGTTATACCATGTGCAGTCCATCTATTGAACTAGGAAGGATAAAGACAACAAAATGGACCCTAAATAATTGAAATTCTTCCGTCTGCCCACAGAGTGTCACCCTTGCTCCATGTGTTTCTGTAGCAGGCTTAAGTCAACAGCTCTGGCTCATGAATTTTATATGTTGTGCATGAATAGAATTGATCTCAGATTCTCAGAGTGCTCAGAGGGCCCACTCTGGTCTTGTTGGAGACCAAGAACAAGGCCTGAGTCTCCTTGACTTCTTTCAGCCTCACGCCCAGCCCTGATTTAACCCTGACAGCTTACCTTTCTGAGGCCTCCTTTGGCTCTACCATCCCCACATGTTCCTTCATCTCCTTCCATGTTTCTCTTATGTCATTTCTGTAACATTTTTTTTCTTCCCAGAAATCAACAATTGGTCATGTGGTTATTTGTGATGGCTTGGCTTGGGGAGTTCTTACAAGGAGTGAGACCACAGGCCAAGTATGAGGAGGGTGTGAGTTCTCATGATCCTGGTGACTGGAGAATGAGCCCTAATACAAACTTGTTAATGAGCTAACTGGCTGACACCACACTTGCAACAGGTACATATGAAAGTGTAGACAATCCTGGATATCACCAACTCCAATCAAGAGTTCTTCTGAGAAGTGGGAAAAGGTTAATAGATTATTTTTGGACAGAGACTCAAGAACCATATTCTAGTTCTCCTGGACCCAACACCAATGGGTACTCACATCCAACTTTCAGGCCCTTTAGTATTATCATTCTAACTCCCCATCTCCTTCAAGTGGGTCCAGCTCCATGGTCATAAAAAGATGATTACTGACTGCTAACATCCAGAATTCCATCTAATAATTACTCTCTCCTCCTCCACTTCCCATCCAGTCTGCCAGTCCTCATCAATAGACAGATGGAAGAGAACTTGTCTTTCTATTCTCAAAGCCTCAGCATTCATTTTGAACGTGAACTTCACAGCAGCATGAGTGGAACAATGGATAATTTTTAGCTTAGTAAACAGCAAAAAATATAATATATATAATATATTTATATAATTATGTTTAAATACTCATAAAGAATTAATAACTAACCTCATTATTAAGGGAGACTACACAAAAGAAAGAGAAAAGCCAGTTTAGAGCAGACAAGCCCTGAAAATGGCAATCCATTCACAAAGGGTATGCACAGAGTGTTCTGGTCAACTTCTCTTCTAGCATTTTGGTATTGGTTTACAAGTTAACTGGGACTGTAGAGTTGGCAGGGCAGGGTGCCTTGCGGGGAACAGGGCAAGAGTTGAGGATGGGTTGAGTAGAATATAAGTGGGGGAGTAGGGTCCTTGTATATCTACCATATTTCTCCTTCCACATTAATCAACTTCCACTTTAAAGAAACTTTTGCCTATGATTCTTACCTACTTGGGCTACTTGATGCACTAGTTGGCACCTAGAAATATCCTCTTGCATTTCTTATAAGATCCTTCACATGCTTCCTCCTTCCTCCATGTCATGATCTTTTTTCTTCATTCACCCTTCTTTTCCTCCTGTGTTGGCCTCTCTTTCTTACTGACTCCAGGGCAGTGGAGGGAGGGGCTTGATGCCACAGTTACTGATTTTCTTCTGCCTTGGGGTCTCTGCAGGTGCATTCATCTTGGTCACAGTCAACAGCAAATGGAATGACCTAGGGCAATGAAAGAGAAGTTGAAGTAACCCATTTTTGTGTAAGCTTCACACTTTTTAACCAGCTTTCCCTTTTCTCACTTGGTCCTGGAGTAATTGTGGGACTATGTGTTGATATCACAGACCTGAGATTAACACTGAGTTCTTCCACTAACACACAGTGTCACCATGTTACCTGGGACAAGGTAATCCTTCCTTGCTTCACTTTCTTCGTATATAAGGTGATGAGGACAACAGAAACTACCTCAGAGGGTATTGGTGTGGTTCAAACGAGATAATGGGTATAAAGCAATTATACATTGCCAGGCACCTCTAATTATTACTCTACTCCTTCTAATATTATCATTAATGTCTAAAACTATTACTCTTATGTTTTTGTTTCTATCATCTCACAAAATTCATGCAAAGTAGGAAGGATGAATGTTAGCAAATTCTCTTTCAGGGAATGGCAAGAGAAGTTGGGAGACTTTACATAAGGTAATGCCACTATTATACAGAAAGCCAAGACACTTCAGATTGACTCTCTTGACTCCTACTCCTCAATGTTCTTGGTACAATAAGATCATCTTTGCCATCTTCACAGAGGTAAGTTTTTGCCTTTCTTAAGCCCAGGATATGCTTTGGCTTGGTGAAACATTGTATCTCCCCAAACATTTGTGGCCATATGGCCTTCCTTCCATGTAATTATCCCTCCCCCATGCCAGACATGGTCCAGCAAAAGTTATCTTCCTTGCATTGCTAACAACAGATAAACACCACTTTTTGAGTGTCCATAACTAGCATTGGAGATAATTGGGCATTTGGGAGACATGATATAAAAGTGGCAATGCTTTTTCCCTTTGGGGCACTAACAATTTAATGAGATAAAAGTAAATAGGCATATCACATTCAATGCTAGTCCAAGAACACTGAAGACAAAGGCTTGGTGATTGGGCAAGCGGGTTGGAGAAAGGGTGGGGTTTTATGGGGAAATTTTCCAGCATATTTTCATATATGAAGTAAAAGTGAGTTAGGAGTCAACAGAAGGGTGAAGTGCCTTTTCAATCCCAGTTCTTACGTATTCTGGCATTAACATTCATTAAAGACAAACACTAGATTTGCAGAGTATAAGACGGGCAGAGAACTGCTTTCTCTCAGAGTGATCATGCCTTCCTGTATACAGACAGTTGACCTGATTTCTGACCTGTAGTCTAAGCTCTTGATCTGTTTTTCTTAGTTTGGAATTTATTGGTTTTTAGAGCTGAAGATGACCCAATTGAATGGTAGTATGATGAGCCCCTGAGCACTCTGCATTAAATAAATTAATTCACATAGGTGGTGAGAACAGTGCCTGGCACATGGCGAGAAACAGTAAATATTCGCAATGAAGAGATGTTGTATTCAGGTCTGCATGTAGGTGATCATGGTAGGTGTGGTTTCATCATGGAGACATGTACAAGGAAAGAAATAACATCTCTTGCATATTTCTGACTAATCAAATTGACCAGTGAGCTTCAAGTATCTTTAAAGCACTTGAATTTTTACCCGTATGATTACAAAATTTTAACCTATTCAATTTTATAGGCTTTGTTTGAGTCTATTTGCTAATTTAACATAGCAAGAGTAACAGGGATAAAGGACATCAAGAAAGGATTACAGCTCGGGTGATTGGTGGCAGCCATTCAACATATGCCTGCAAGATGTTTATAATACACTATGTGAGATTGTTGATTTAATTATGAGGATGGCTAGTAACTGAATAGCACCTCATTGGTAATCCTGCTCTTCCAAGTGGTAGAGACTATTATTTTTTCTACCTACAGAGAAGTTTCCTGGGCAATGATGATAAGCAGGTATGCATCTCTCAGTAGCAAAAGCCATGGCTTTTCTGAAAAAATCACTGAACTCACAATTAAAGAGCTCATGTTTGCTAAGAACCTATGCTACTCTTGATTCTATCACTTTAGAAACTCCAATGTCTATTCATTATAATGTCCTCCTGGCTATTGAATAAAAACCCATTATGAAGCACCATAAAGGAGAGCTAGCTAAAGACCCTGACTTTATTCCTGAAGCCACTGCCCCCAACCCCCACTCCCAGGTTTTCTTACCTTCTTGGAAGAGAGTGTAGAGGAGCAGCAGTCTCCCCCATCATAGTTGCAGTAGGCCCGGTTGTTGATAGTGTCACACCAACCATCTGCTTGGAAAGGCTGTAAGGAGGTTGGAAGGCAGCATCTCAGTACAAAAAACATAGCGACCTAAAGTCTCAAGTTGACAAACCTCAAACCATTGGCTCTAAGGAGCTGTCAAATTTTCACCTACAGTGCCACTTCTGGCCTCCTCTAAGGTGTGGGATGGGTCATTTAAACTCTTCAACCAACTTTTTCGCCTTCTTGTAATAATAGATTTTTATACTATGTAGGTTACAAAACAGTACCACATAATTTAACTCTGTTTATCATTGGAGAAAGCCTGTGCAGTAGGCAGGATTGGATTTAAAAGTTCCACTTTATCAGTGAGGAAATGGAGATGCATAGAGATAATAAGAATAACCTCATGAGGGGCATGGTGGCTCTCGCCTATAATCCCTTTGGGAGGCCGAGGTGAGAGGATTGCCTGTGCCCATGGGTTCGAGACTAGCCTGGGCAACTTGGCAAGACCTCATCTCTACAATAAATCAAGAAAAACTTGCTGGACACAGTGGCTTGTGCCTTCAGTTCCAGCTACTTGGATGGCTAAAGCAGAACGATCACCTGAGCCCAGCAGGTTGAGGCTGCGGTAGCTGTGAATCTGCCACTGCCCTCCATCCTGGGTGACAGAGTGAGACTCCAACTCAAAAAAGAATTACCCCAATTCACATAACAGGGTCAGGCAGAACTTGGCACCAGATGTCACACATCTTGACTTTGTGCTACTTTTCACATACTAAGGACCAACTTCCACCCCTTCTCCTGGTGCACTGAAGACTGATCCTTAGAGACCTGAGTAGTCTTGGGTGCTAAAGACTCAAATGATGTCTGGCCAGCCTGCAGTGTTCCTAGGATTAAAGACATCAGTGCTGGAACAAAAATATTCCCATATATACAGCCACCTCATGCACGGCAGCTAGACACAGGGCAAGAGCAAAGAGAGCCAAACAGTTTCCATCCACTCCTGTTACTGCTGCAAGTTAACAGGAACCAAAATGGAGAAGGGGTTTAAGCCAAACCAGAGTTAATAGAGTGTTTCACCCCAAAAGGGAATGTATGATAAGAACAGCAACAGCGGTTAAAAAATAGCTCAGCAGCCCAATGCATTGTTTCTCCAGAACACTATCTGTGAAAGAAAACACTGCCTCACAGCTGCCCGGTGGGGAAGCCAGCCAGCCCACCTGATCAATAACGCTGGCTGCTCCCCACCCTAAGCAGATGCCCAACTGGAATGCCTCAGGAGATACCTCATGGTCAAACTCTTTGGACCACAGAACCCTTGAGTCCTGAGAACACTTTCAGTTTACACGTTCAAATCACTTTTTCTCTCCCCACCCTCCTTAAATGTCAAATAGAAGGACTGTTCCCTAATTTAATGTGCTTTGATGGACTGGATCACTCAACTAAAAAATGGCCATTAAATAATTTTCAGCAATTGCGTTACATCAGAATGAGCTTATCCAAGTTATTACTTCAATGTTTTGATTTATTCTATGGGGTCTTGAGGTCATTTGAACATCATTCCAGATGTATATCCATTTGCCAGCCACCAAGAAGCTGCTACTTGTGTGGTGAAACTCAACAGCTGTCACACAGCTGCACAGCAATGTCAGTTGAAAGCAGGAAGTGAAAATGAATTCTGTTTTCAACACAGACCTCACTGGGGTGCAAGACAAAGATTCCGAGATGAGCTTTTGTCTTTAATACTGGAGCCAGTTATTCTGGCTCTAGAGAACTTGGAATAAGTATACAATCAAGACTCAGGTCCAAAATTGCAGCCATATAGTTTGAGTCAAAAGACATTTAGTAGATCTTGAACATGTATAGATGCTCTTGGGTTTCCACAGAAGGACCAGTTATGTCTACTGAGATCCCCCAGAGTTTTCTTTTTCTTTTTCAAGTGCTAGGAGAATATTTTACTCATCTAACACGACATCTGTTACTTTTCCTTCAACCCCGACTGACTCATTGTCAAACTTAGTAAGTTCCCTCTTTATTTTCCATGTAATTGTCTCTAAAAATCTACAACAAGAACTCAAACGCTTTCCCTATGCATGTAAGTATGGTCTTCAGAATGCAGGATTAAAGGTAGATTTCTTCAGAATGCAGGATTAAAGGTAGATCTAAAGATAGCTTCCTTTTCATAAGAATAACCTAAACATTTGCATGGGTTAGTATAGGATCCTGGGGAATTTGTCTTTTTAAAGTCTTCATCAAGGATGGCTTCTCATCTCAAGAACACTAGGGAAGGTACTTTGAAAAGAGTGGCAATGGTCTAGGTGACCTTCTCTAGGTCCCACTGGACTTCTATTGTCATTGCACAGAAAATATTTCTAGAAGCTCCTTATTTTCTGTTCTTAAAGAGTCCACTGGAAAGAGAAGGGAGTTTATAAAAAGAAATACAGAGAAGGGTTGGAAAGACCTGTGTTTAATTTACTATATACCTATTAGAATTAATTGCTCCTCCCCCAACCTGCCAAAAACAACCACTCCACCCTCAACAAACAGAGTCTCCTATGGCAACATGTGCCTGGGAAGCTCGGCACCTTGAGTTCAAAGTCCCAATGAAAAAATAGGAAGGGAAAATGACTAATTGATCCAAAATTTAAAAATATCTGAAAACTGAATGCAGACTGAAAGATTTTAATTTCAATAATTGGAAGGTGTCAGATGTGGGATATCACTCTTCCCTTCAGGAAATTTTCCCAAGGAAAGGTACTAGGCTTGGTTTCTCCTCTGTGTACACAGGTGAATTTCACCATCCATACGTATACCTCATTTATTCTGTAACGCCAGAAAATAAAGTGTTCCATATAAGAGCATATTTCAAATGCCTGAAGTCTATGCCTTTAAGGGTCCTCTGTCATTTTCATTAGAAACATTTTGATAAAAGAAAAAATCTTTACAAAATACCTTTTTCCCTGCTTTTTAACAACTTATAGAACCCAGAGTCATCAACATGAACATTGATTATTTTCATTGTGCAAGAAGACTCTCCCCTTTGCTAACACACACACACACACACACACACACACACACACACACACACACCACACACACACACACACACACACACACACACTCTCTCTCTCTCTCTCTCTCTCTCTCTCTCCCGGGAGTGATTTATCTTTGAACCACAAAGTCAAGGCTTTAGAATTATGCCTAAAGTAAATACATAAATCTGAGAGAGAAAGCTTGGATTACTCTTCTTATGATATATACTTTAGGATACCTATGTTAGTTGTTAAAAGAAGGTTTTTCTTGGCTGGACTTGGTGGTGCAGCCTGTAATCCCAGCATTTTGGGAGGCCAAGGCAAGTGGATTGCCTGAGCCTGTGGGTTCGAGACCAACCTGGACAACTTGGCAAGACCTTGTCTCTACAATAAAATAAAAAAATAGTTAGGCATGGTAGTGCATGTCTGTAGTTCTGGCTGCTTGGAAGACTGAGGTAGAAGGATCACCAGAGCCCAGAAGGCCGATGCTAGGGTGGCTGTGGGTGTGTCACTGCACTCCAGCCGGGGTGACAGTGTGAGACTTCAACACAGGAAAAAAAAGAAGACTTTTTTTGACAGTGAATTGCTGTTAGCTGTGTTCCAGACAAATGATGTGGCCCAATAAGGGACTGTGTATAAGTGGTAAAATATAAAGAGGAAAGACTGCCAGTGTATCCTACCTATGCCATGTTGGAAACATCCCAAAAGTAAACACAATTTCTTCTTTATGTGATATAATCTGTTGATATCTTCTTTTTTATGGTTGCTATGGGGTGTTAGCCATAGAAATGGTGGCCCTGACTGTTATCCATGGGTGTGGTCATTCATTCTGTCACTCAACATTCTCTATACCACACCTATGTGTGCCAGTATTGTCATTGGGAAACACAGATAAATAAAATATGGCCTCAGCAATTTTAGCTCAGTGTGAACTAATCCAGATTTGGGGGGTTAGGGACTGCTTTCATGGGTTGTCTCCACAATATCCAGGCCCTGTGGAGAAGAGTTTAGGACTGGATGATTGTGAGGGGAAGAGGAGCCTGAGAGATCTGTCTAAGGAAAAGGGAGTAGAAATAAAGGGGTGGTTGGTCCCAGGCTGCCTATTACAGAACCCATTCATAGGAAGAATTGAATAAACTTTGGAAGATTGGCTAATAATAATCAGTCTTACTTGAATCAGATTAAGAACATTGTTCCTCTACAGCTTACAACAGAACTCAAGACAGCACTGATGTTTTAGAAAAGTTAGTTTGGACTTTAGACCTTCTGCTCTGCTAACTTACAGGTCAGGATCTCAGCTAAAAGGGACTGTATTATTGGAGGTAAGGCATGGGACTGAATCCTGTTGTATCATCTCCAGAAATGTTTTAGACCAAGAGAAGACATTAAGCAAACCTTTGCCTGTTGTGTTGTCAAACACTATTTTCTGTCTCCCACATCATTTCTGGACACACCTTCCAATTATATGAATGACAAATCAGACCGACATCCATTTCTTTATATTGATTGGGCTCCATCAGGCCTGAAAAAAGCTCTTTTCCAAAGCAGCTGTTGGGCTGCACCCAGGGGATTCCTTGCAGCTGATGGAAATCCTTATGTAAATGTGTACACATTTGTGCACTAGTTTTCTCTTTTTCTCTGGCTCTTCAATTAATGGTGACCTCTGACTTGATCTTCATTTTTCTCCTTCTCATCCTGTGGTTCTGCTACTGTGCTCATACTTCCTGGGCTTCATATCCAAATACTGCAAAGGACATCAAAAGTGGAGGCCTTTCACAAGGTCTCTCTTTGGAGCTCGAGGGCAAAGCTTGGGGGTGCTTTGAGGACCCCTGATGATCAGAACACTACTTGCTTATCAAGAAGATGCTAGATCACAAGTGCTGGTGAAGATGTGGAGAAAAGGGAACTCTTGCACACTGTTGGTGGAAATGCAAATTATTTGATCCAGCAATGCCACTACTGGATCTATAGCCAAAGGAAATGAAATCAATATGTCGAACAGATTTTTCCAAAGGACCATAGATACAT